GGGGGATTTGAAAGGGATTTGGGGTCATTTGGGGGGATGGGAAAGGGTTTGGGGTTGGGTTTGGAGTCATTTTAGGGTTATTTAGGGTTATTATGGGTTATTTAGGGTTATTTAGAGTTATTTAGAGTTATTTAGGGGTGGTTTTTGGGTATTTTAGGGTGGTTTTGGGCTATTTCAGTGCGGTTTTGGGGTATTTTGGTGTGTTTTTTTTTATTTTTGGGTTATTTAGGGTTATTATGGGTTATTTATGGTTATTTTTGGTCCCCTAACCCCCATTTTCCCCTTTTTGCAGTGCTCGGATGCGGGGGCAGGGCGAGGGCCGGGGTTATTATGGGTTATTTTGTGATTTTTTTTATTTTAGGGTGGTTTTTGGGTATTTTGGTGTGGTTTTTTTTGGTTTTTGGGGTATTTATGGTTATTTTTGGTCCCCTAATGCCTGTTTTTTCCCTTTTTGCAGTGCTCGGATGCGGGGGCAGGGCGAGGGCCGCTCAGCCCCCCCGGACCCCCGTGCTGAGCCCATCGACAGCTCCGGGGGTCCGGTGCTGCCCCTCCCCTCGGGGGGGGCTCTGTCAGCTCGGGGGCTCCCCCCCGGCCCCGCCCGGGACCTGCTGGAGAAAGCTCTGCTGGGCCAGGAGGCCGAGAGGTCAGAGCCCCCAAAATACCTGCAAACGGCCCCAAAATGGCACTGAAAACAGCCCAGAAACAGCCCCAAAAATACCTGCAAACGGCCCCAAAATGGCACTGGAAACAGCCCAGAAATAGCCCCAAACATGCCTGGAAACGGCCCCAAAATGGCACTGAAAACAGCCCCAAAAATGCCTGGAAACGGCCCCAAAATGGCACTGGAAACAGCCCCAAAAATGCCTGGAAACGGCCCCAAAATGGCACTGAAAACAGCCCAGAAGTAGCCCCAAAAATTCCTGGAAATGACCTCAAAATGGCACTGAAAACAGCCCAAAAACAGCCCAGAAATGGCACTGAAAACACCTNAAAATGGCACTGAAAACACCCCAAAAACAGCCCAGAAATGGCACTGAAAACACCTGGAAACACCCTGAAAATACCCCAAAAATGGCACTGAAAACACCCCAAAACCAGCCCAGAAACAGCCCCAAAAATTCCTGAAAATGGCCCAAAAATGGCACTGAAAACAGCCCTCAAAACACCTGAAAACACCCTGAAAATACCCCAAAAATGGCACTGAAAATGGCCCAAAACCAGCCCCAAAAATTCCTGGAAATGGTCTCAAAATGGCACTGGAAACAGCCCAAAACCAGCCCAGAAACAGCCCTGAAAACACCCTGAAAATACCCCAAAAATGGCACTGGAAACACCCCAAAAACAGCCAAGAAACAACCCTGAAAACACCCTGAAAATACCCCAAAAATGGCACTGAAAACAGCCCAAAACCAGCCCAGAAACAGCCCCAAAAATGCCTGGAAATGGCCCAAAAATGGGCTTGAAAACAGCCCTGAAAACACCTGAAAATACCCCAAAAATGGCACTGAAAACAGCCCAAAAACAACCCAGAAATGGCACTGAAAACGGCCCCAAAATGGCACTGGAAACAGCCCAAAACCAGCCCAGAAACAGCCCCCAAAGTACCTGGAAACGGCCCCAAAATGGCACTGAAAACAACCCTGAAAATACCTGAAAATACCCCAAAAATGGCACTGAAAACACCCCAAAAACAGCCCAAAAACAATCCTGAAAACACCCTGAAAATACCCCAAAAATGGCACTGAAAACAGCCCAGAAACAGCCCCAAAAATGCCTGGAAACGGCCCCAAAATGGCACTGAAAACAGCCCTGAAAACACCCTGAAAATACCCCAAAAATGCCTGGAAATGGCCCAAAACTGGCACTGAAAACACCCCAGAAACAGCCCCAAAAAGCCTGGAAATGGCCTCAAAATGGGCTTGAAAACAGCCCTGAAAACACTTGAAAACACCCTGAAAATACCCCAAAAATGGCACTGAAAATGGCCCAAAACCAGCCCAGAAACAGCCCCAAAAATTCCTGAAAATGGCCCAAAAATGGCACTGAAAATGGACCAAAAATGACCCTGAAAACACCTGAAAACAGCCCAAAAATGGCACTGAGAATACCCTAAAAATGGGCTGAGAATATCCTGAAAATGGCTCAGAAATGGTTCTGAAAATGGCCCAATAATGGCCCAAAAATGACCCTGAAAACAGCCCAAAAATGGCACTGAAAACACCCAAAAAATGGTCCTGAAAATGACCCAAAACCAGCCCAAAAATACCCAAAAAATGACCCTGAAAACATCCCAAAAATGGGCCTGAAAATGACCCAAAAATGGGCCTGAAAATACCCCAGAAACGGCCCCAAAACAGCCTGAAATTACCCCAAAAATGGGCCAAAACAGCCCCAAACACCTGGGTGGGCCTAAAATATATCCCAGTCCCTCCCAGTCCCTCCCAGTCCATCCCAGTTCATCCCAGTTCATTTCCAGTCCATCCCAGTCCATCCCAGTCCATCCCAGTTCATCCCAGTTCATTTCCAGTCCATCCCAGTCCATCCCAGTCCATTCCAGTCCATCCCAATCCCCTCCCA